CCTCCCCTGGCATCTCCCGGTCATGCAGTTTGGACCCCTGGCTTTTCCTCCCTGGAGATAACATCCAGGCCTCAGTTGCGTTTCAGCTCCAGGCCCAGAGAAGCAGCAAAACCAGCCACAGCTGATGCCAGAACCAGCTGCTTAGAATAATGACCCCTGCCCTGTGCCGGCGGATCAGTGGAGACCAGACCCTGAAAGGACACACCTGGAAGCTGCTGAATTCCACGGGGTCTTTCCCTGGCACCCCCTCCCCAGTCTCTGCCCTAAACCCTGAGGATGGGGGACCCAGTTCTCCTCCCGGGAGCACGCCCGTGCCCCCCCTTCCTCCGCAGGTCACCATTACCTTCCTCGCTCCCAGCTCCAAGGGCCCTCCCTTCCCTCCACAACTCCTTTCCTCCGCCCACTCCTTCCAGGAGCTGCTTCTGCCTCCGTGATTACCCAGGACATGTTCTCTGACAGGTGGGTCTTGCTCTGAATTCCTCCCTATGGAGAACTCAATACTGAGGTTACTGAACCCGGGTTTGGTGGGACCCCACCTGGTGCTCTTCCCGGCACTGCCTACAACACATCCCGTCCTAAAATACTCCCATCACCTCAGAAAGAAGCCCTGGACGCACGGCAGCCCGCCCCACGCCCTCCCCACCCCGCTCGGTCTGTGCATTGACCTCCTCTGGACCATTATTTACATAAAGGGAATCATTTTTCACGGCTTCTGTGGCTGGCTTCTCTCCTAGCGCGTGCTCTCCAGGTTCCTCCGTGCTGCTGGGTGTGTCCGTGGGTCCGTGAGTCACTCCGTTTTATGGCTGAGTGACAACCTGGGATGTGGACGGCCACGTTTTTAATTCAGTTATTTATTGTGGGCATTTGGGCTGTTTCCGCCTTTGGCTCTCGCCCGTGGTGCTTCTGTGAATGTGGTGTGAGTCTCGCTTGACCTCCTTTGGGTGCATGTCTGGTACCTCCGTCGGCATCCACAGCAGTGCACAGGGGTCCGGTGTCCCACACCTCCAGCCCCTGTTCCTGCCTGTGGCTTTTGTTATTATTGTAGCCACGGGGTGTGTGGGGGGCGTGGGGGGTGAGGGGGCCTTTGCTGTGGCTCTGACTCGGTTTCCCTGATGACTAGAGTGGGTGGGGCCCCCCGGGCTTGTTGACCAGGATGAGGAAACCAGAGATGCTGCGTGATGCCGGCCCCACAGCCAGGGCCTCTGTGTGGGGACAGGATAATGTGCCCTCCTGGCCCTCAGGACAGGCCCCCCGCAGGCCTGCACCTTGGCCCCACCTCCTGCTGCTGGTCCCTGCCCGGCCTCTGCTGACCCACCCACCGCGGGGCAGGCACTGGGCAGAGCAGGGCAGAGGGACAGGAGCAGCTTGGACTCGGGCTGGGCTCCCCACCAGGCGCCCGGGTTAGAGGAGACGGCAGAAGCAGCAGCCCCGGGACCTCAGCACCAAGGGGGTTTCCCTACAAGTTAGGAAGGGCACCCTGGGCTCAGCCTGCCCTCCCCACCTCAGGGGGCACATCGAGCTCACCGACCCATGGCGGGAGGCCGAGGGCATGTGGGACTCTGTTACAACGGACAGGAGATGCCCCAGTGAGGACCCTCCCCGCCAGCGTAGTTCCCTCGTACCCTTCCCTTGGAGAGTGCACGTGAGGGGGAGCTGTGTGTGCATGTGACGTGTGGGAGTGGTGAGCGTGCACACGTGTGAGCATGTCCTTATGTGCACAGGTGCCCGCACAGAGCACTGGGCTCCGAGTCTTGAGGACATGCAGGTCCGAGGAAGGTGGTTCAGACGCGGCCCCGGGTTCGACAAGCCCCCCCACCCCCCGCCCACCTGTGCCTGCTCCCCTTTCCCTCCTCGAGCCTCACGGGACCTTGGAAGGAAGGTGTGCTCCCCGTTGGAGTGGGGGAGCGACTGGCCCGGGCCCAGGCTGCAGGGAGCCAAGCACAGCCCTCAGCTCAGCCAGGTCCTCAGGGACAGGTGGCCAGACTCAGCAGGGAGCCCAGGGTGCCACCCAGCCCTTGTCTCAGGCTCCGGGCCCAGCAGCCCAGCCGGGACCATCTGATTCGTCACACTCAGCAACCGGATGAACCCGCTTACCTGGACGGTCTCTCAGGGCACATGGGACGGAGGGGTGAAGGCTGTGTGTGTGCACGGGGCTGTCACCTGCAGGGTGACCTCCAGGCCTGCTGTACACACTCACACAGCCTGGCGCCCACGCCCACTCCCACCGCGCCCCTGACTCCCAGGCTTGGCCTTGGGCTCCATC